TTCCCTAGAACAGGGATCCATCATGGAGTCTTATTATGCTATACACAGGGCCAGTCAGAAGAGGGGCCTGGAGGGCCATTTCCCCTGAGCCTCAAACTTAGACACTTGTTAATAGCAAGTTGTAAAACTTATGTGCATTTGGACTGAAAGGCTAGAAAAATATTTGTTAAACAAAAAAAAATTCAAATTATGTCTCTCTATCTTTTTGGTGCCTTATTTTGTTTTCATATGTCATCATTTTTTATTTTGATTATAGCTAGGGGCCTCAAAAGCTGGAAATGGCCAGGTCTTTCAGGGTATGTCTAGACTACATGGCTCCGTGGACGGAGCCATGTAGACGAGTTTACTAGACATAGGAAAATGAAGCAGCGATTTCACGAGGCATACCGGAGCGGTCGACAAAGGCTTCCCTTGTCGACCGCGGCGCGTCCAGACTGCCCCACTGTGCCGCCAAACAGCTGATTGGCACAGCGCGGTGGCCATTTTGATGTAAATGAAGTGGCGATTATTTAAATCGCCACTTCATTTTCCTATGTCTAGTAAACTCATCTACATGGCTCTGTCCACGGAGCCATGTAGTCTAGACATACCCTCAGTTCCGAGTCCATGCTGTGCTTGAACAAGAACAGTGTGAATAGCCACCAGCAGGCTCCGCTTGGGCATGACAGTGACTCTTCTCATCATTGGAAGGGCAAAAGAGCAGGAAAGCTGATACACTGGAAACTCCAGCCCGGTGGAGCTATTTTTGGTACTGTAATACTTCCTAAGAGTTCCCACCAATATATTGTCTGTAGTAATGAATTAAATGCAGAAATCAGGCACTCAAAGGCTACCAGCAACAAGCTCATCCCTGAAGAAGAGTGTGGAGCCAGTGCATAATTATGAGAACACATCAGTGGCCATGCTGGAACAGAGCAGTGGTTCATCTGCTGTTGTATTCTCTCTCAGAATGCAGCTAAATGCTTTAAAGGAAATTGTTAAACCTGCAGGTTGTGCCTAATGGCACAACACTATACCAAAGAGCTAAGCTCTTCCTTACTCCACCTGGAGATCAGTTTCACACTGTCCTCCTAGAACATGATCCATAGGTCACAGCACTGCAGTGGAAGTACACTGTGGCCCCAATTCACCCTATTTCAGCTTTACACCAGTCTGTCCTCCATCCATTCCAATAGTTTATATCCCCATGAAGCTGGAGAGGAGCACAGTGGGAGGTCCAGGCCCCTGGATTTAGTATTATCCTCTAAACCTCTGTCCCTTTATCCCCTTACTTACCTTCTGGAAATCAGAGAGCTAGTCTGACATAGTTATTAACTATGTGTATGTCTACACTGCGGAGATATTTCGGGATACCAGAAGTATCTTGAAAGGAATAGTGAGTTATTTCAAAATACAGTTGAAATAAGCGATGCGGTTTGCATAGCGCAATTTGCGTAGCTTATTTCAAGCTAAGGGTGCTGTGTAGACACACCCTATGTGTCCATGCAGTACAAAAGATGTATCCTCCAACAGTGATCTAAATACTACCGAGACCTGCTCCATTATAATATTACTGCACCACGCAGACCTTGACTTGCCTGATAGTTTTCTAGCTGCATCCTGTCTGGCACCTGTTGCCTGATCTATTGATTGTGTGTTAATTATTAAGGATTCCCAATTGACAGGTTCCAGTTCCAAGGTAAGGCCCAGAATGATTAGAGTTACCGTTAAATTGGAAACCCCATGTGCACAGTTACAACACTCACACTTAATGAAAAAGCTTTTGGCTTTTAGTCGTTTTATTAACATGGTTGGTGAATACACAAATGTTCCAACCCACACAAGAATGTAATGGCAGAGCACTGTTAGTATTGCATCCAGCTTTGTGTCGTGCACACTCTCACAATTGTTATGGAGACCTAGGAGTAGGGACGTAAGTCCCCATCCTCTGGCAGACCAAACAATTCCAATGACTGAAGTTTTGATGACAGCACAAAGTATCCCCCTCACAGCCCGGGTGGGGTGGAGTCACCTCAGCCCCCTCTCCTGCTAGCTGGAAAGGAACCAGGCAGCATTGGAATTGCCTGCTCCGGGGCTTCACTGCCTCACCTCTCCAGATGGGCAGTGAAGCCAGGAAAGCAGCATGACACCTAGAATATTGCCCTTGAGCCCCGATAGCCTTCTCTAGCAGCCATGCCTTTGGCTGCAGCTCTCAGCTACCTCCTCCCCGCTGCCCCCCCCCCCCCCCCCCCCCCCCCACCCCCCCAGCCACTGCAACCATCCCAACCACACCCATCACATTCCATCCCTATCACTACCTCCCCCCCAACAAACCC